ACAGAGTACAACACACAGGTAAAACTGAAAGCATTAGGGACAGTTACCACTGATTTGTATAACACAGTTTAAAAAAAAAGGAATCTTTAAGATGAACACTGAAGATGATGTTCCTTCACAGAAATAGAGTCTAACATCCTTGACCGCTCTTTTCTCCTATATTCCAATACTGCATATATATCAACGCTACCATTCAGTGTCTACTAATAGACAAAGTGCTGAACACCCACATGGACTCTTGCCTCCTGCTTCTGATAAATATATACATTTCTCTTAGAAGAATTTGCCACCTTTGAGTATATTTCCCATATATGAAAATAGCCTCTTTAAATTATATAATGATCTCTAGACCTATCTAAATCAGGAATTACACAAATCCTGCCTTTTTTGAGGCTGGACCATCCAGCATCCAGTTACAGGAATATAAAGCACACATGTTCAATCCAGAGCCCATATTTAACTAAAGTCACAGAGTAATAGTACACCAAAAATGATAAAGCGTTGAATTTACTTCAAATGTATACATCATTTCCACGTGAAGGAACTATAATTCATCAACACAAAGCTGTCTTTCAGTTTACTTTTGGCAGTAACTGAATGATGTAATACCAATCAGCCATTACATTAAAACCACCTCGTTTCTACACTTATTGTCTCTTTTATCAGCTCCACTTACCATACAAGGGCACTCTGTAGTTCTACAATTACAAACTGTAGTATATCTGTTGCTCTGAATACTTTGTTAGCCCCCTTTTACCCTGTTCTTTAATGGTAAGGACCCCCACAGGACCAACACAGAGCAGGTATTAAACACCTCAGTGTCACTGCTCCAGCCAACAATGTCCTGTGGGCAGCATCCTGTGACCTCCGATGAGGACTAGAGGATGACCAACACAAACTGTGAAGTAACAGATGAGCTACTATCTCTGACTTTACATCTACAAGGTGGGCCAACAAGGTAGGTGTGTCTCATAGAGTGGACAGTGAGTGCTTAAAAACTCCAGCTTCACTGCTGTGCCTGATCCAGTTGTACCAGCGCAACACACACTAACACGCCACCACATCAGTGTCACTGCAGTGCTGAGAATGATCCACCACCCAAATAATACCTGCTCTATGGTGGTCCTGTGTGGGTCCTGATCATTGAAGAACACGGTAAAAGGGGACCAGCAAAGTATGTAAAGAAACAGATGGACTACAGTCTGTAACTGTAGAACTACAAAGTGCTCCTATATAGTAAGTGGAGCTGATAAAATGGACAATGAGCGTAGAAACAAGGAGGTGGTCATAATGTTATGGCTGATGTATTTGCAGAAATGATGCACACAACTAAATCAAGTAAGTTCGGTGCATTAGTGAGTGTACTGATCAAGTCTCCTCTGGCTGTATAATTGTATTTATTAGGGTGGAAAAAAAACAAAAAACATCCCTCAAATCAGCATTTTGGATCATGGTGATCATGGTGTACTCTCACACTGATTTACACATGGTTGGTTTCCCAAAACCAGATTAAGTGTAAACTGTAAAGGATTTTTAATGGTTTAATGGGTAGAACCCCTTACTATTGTCCTATCCATGCTCTGCTCATGAATTTTATATTTTCTATTAAAGGCAACGTTTGGAGCTGTTTGCTCAAGGTGCTCATTATTTGTACATCTTTGACCACCTCACAACAACTGAACTGAATATGCTGTGTGCATGGACAACCTAGTGTACTGATAGATGAAGTAAGAACTCTGTTTTGTTTAAGCTGAGGTGCCAACAATTGATTAGGCTAAAAGATAGCAGACTAAACAGGGTAAAAGATAGCTAACAGGCTAAACCGCTCCTCCAGTAATATTCAGAGTTAGGATTTGACCTGAAGTATATTTACTAAATGACAGTAAAATTAAAAAAGGAAAGAATACGTAACATGAATGTCTTCAAAAGTTCATGCTTTTGGTTAGATTTGCCTTTTGCACTATTAAACACGGTGTGGGGAAAAATTGGCACTGCTAGCTTGATGCTAGCATAACACAGGAAATCGCACAGAGAAGATTAGCATTATCGTTATGGTGGTAATTTGCTAAGAAAAAGCTAATTATGCAATGAAGATTTCTGCATTAATCACTGCTGTATATTGACATTTTCATTATTGTATGACAAAAAATTGAAAAGTTCATTAAATTACCGCAATATAAAATGATAGGTGACTGAAAGTTCTTGTCCTCCTTCAGCAGCCCATAGTCTGCTTCATGTCGTGCATAAGAATAACCATGATAAACATCACAGTAACCCACAGCCTCTCATGACTTATTGCTTTAGTCAGCATGATTGAAATCGTACTTGCTATAATATTAATTTTAAATATGAACTTTGTTCTTGTCTGAAAGGCCACACTGTTAGAATAGATCAGGTGTAGTCTCTTTGTGTGTAATTGAGCTAGTGTTAGCGCAGTGGCATTTTCCATCTGCCTACTTTCAAATAACTACAATGCAGTCCAGCTCAGCAGTCATTTAGCAACTCTAAGCAACTCTGTTGGAGCGATCTGATGAGAATAATGTAGGCATTTGACTACATAACATTGCGTTTTCAGTTTAAAATGTTAGGCTACCAAGTTAGAGTGTGTTACTGCAGCTAATCGAAGCTACTTAGGTTAGAAATGACACCGACAAACATGCTAACATTAGCTTGTCTACACATCAAAATAAACTACACCTCATCTTTCCAAAGTGTGACTTTTAACACACGTACAGAACAAATGTCATTTGCGCTCTAAATTTAGGTATTTTGACTAAAACTGAGTTGTGCACTCGTTTCTTGTTAGCTTCAATGGGACTTCAGCAACAGCTGATATAAAGTGATGCATTTGTGAGTGGAGCATGGATAGACACTAGTATTAGAATTTAGCCTAATCCCAGCCTTAATCCACATTTGGTAGACCAACCCATAGTTCATTAGCAGCCTCTGTTCTTGGTGTTATGTTAGTTTTATGATAATTGGAGCTCAAAAATATCATCAAACCCTCTGGATAAGGCACTCTGCCCAGTCAAAACCCATTCTGTTTTCACCTGAACCCTCCTAAAGCCTCTTCCGATTGCTTTGTTTGCGAACAACAGGAGAATGAAGCAAGCCAGTGGTCAATGCAAACAGAGGAAAGGTCAGTGCCCAGTGGTTTCCCAAAAAAGCCTGACCAATACCGGGCCTTTAGTGAACAAATACAGAAAGGGTTCTGGTCTCTAACACTTGCAGCTGTGTGGGATGTTGTGATAATGACCATATTTACACTGTGTCTCAGATCTATATTCATATAATATACCTATTTCTATAATCATTACATAAATCTTTATTGGAGATATCTGCAGATCAGTACAGCTTTCTTTCTTTTATTTAAGGCGTTCAATTGTAGAGTGTCTTCTAATATTCTAATATACTCTTTATCTCTTTTTATTCACTTGCATTCGTTCTCTTCAAATACACACACAAAAAGCTATATGTCAGGCAAACTCCTTCAACATTCTTCTTCTTCATCTTTTCTTTTTTTCATAAAATAGATTCCGTTGTATAAAACTTGCTGTGGCCACAAGCTCGTGGCTGAAAGTCAGTGGTTCTGTAATGCATGTAAAGAGTTTAGTTTTGGTGCTTCTCCTCTGCCGGACACACAGAAGGCCAGCCGCACGCTACACACACACACACGCACATCCTGCCGTGGGTCCTTTTCCGAGAGGATACTTCCAGTTTTTTAAGGTGGTGGGTGTCACGTCTCTTCAAAATAATAATTTAGAAATAAAATATAACTTAAAAAATGCTCTTCTGTTTGTGAATGCGTGGAGAAATCCTTCGTGAATGTTGTGGGGGGGAAAAGGGATTCAGGCCCACACCGGTTTAATCCAGGTATGAAATCCAGGTTTTTAACCAGGTTTATTCAGATCCAGGCCAAGTACTAGCCAAAGCAGGTGGACACTGGTCAGCCAGGCCTGACAGCAAACCAAAGGAGGGCAAAAAGCAAGCTAAATGGAACCAAGCCTAAACGTAGCTTAGCCAGGTTGAAATCAGAGCCGTGCTGGTGGAGCTGAGGTAGGGCTGGGCGATATTGGCCAATCAGACTATAGTAATCAGAATATTTTTTTTTCCATTTCATTCGATATCGATAATTATCAATAATCATTTTTAATGTTTTCTTCTGCTGAATGTTAAGTAATATTCTCAACCCTGAAGAGAACAAAATGCTAATCTGGTTGCTCTGGGTTACATCAGATGTAATAATACTGAACTCATTCCACATTGGGTTGTAGATACATTTCTGCCACAACATCCAAGATGTTTTCCTGGATACTCGTGGAAGTATTTTCTCTCTATATCCCGCTAATTTGTGCTTTGCAAGTAAACAGCTAGACTGCTTTCCCTCTCTGTACAGCGCCTGAAAGGCGAACATTGCCGGCTAGTGTACAGCTGTTCAAGTTCAAGCCTTTTGGAGCTAATACCAGATTGAAGAACATGACTGTATGATCACTATACTAAAAATATCTCAATGTAAGTATATGCCAATCCATTTTTCCCCTGGTCCTGATCCAAGTCCTTAAAGAGGCATTCTCACCAAAATACAAATGTAACGATTACTGTTTAAACCATTCTGATGACGCATCTTGAAGGTGGGAGAAAATTTTGAGAAACTGCTTTAGCGGAGGACACATGAGGGTGGGCTGTTTGAAATATTTTTTCCACTAGCTGGCAAATGCAGAACGAAGCCAGATTACTAACATTACTGCGAGGAAGCCGAAGATCACATTTGCATTTATTAGCCTCTACAGTCGTGGCTACATCAAGGGTTGCATGATGATATTGCATTGCATCCCTCGGCCTCATCAGGCATACTGGGTATCGCAGTGAAAAAACACTGAGGATGAAAACACAAAATGGATACAAAATCATGAATTTTGTCAGATCGATGAGGATGAGGAATGTTATGCCGTGCTACAGAATATTGCAAAACGTAACAAATGACATAATACATGCTAGTTTTAGGCCGGCATGCATGCTGGGTATTGTTGTGAGATAAAACTAATGGATGAAAACACAAAAAGGATATAAAGTCAGAAATTCTCTCAAACAGATGATGCTGATTACATGCTAGTTTTAGGCCAGAATGCCCCTTTAATATTGACTAACTGTATTTTCTTAGACAACACAGCTGCACATTGCGATTATATGGAAGTTAGTAAAGCCAAGTGAATTTAAGCAAGATGTGTTAGGCTGCCAATTACTTTAAAATGCTAAAATAATATGGTAAAATAGCTCTGTTTTTAGTATAAGCACAGTGTTATACTTTGGACTAATTTTTTAGAGTGATTACGAGAAATAAGTAGTTTCCAGTGTTAACTATGCACTACAAAGTTGCTCTAAGATGTGTAATAGCGAGTTTCCTGCTTCTTTCTTCAAATCAAATCAAAGCATCCCTAAGCTTATGTTGATTTTGATAATTATCGATATCGATTCATCGCCCAGGCCCTAAACAGAGGGCTGTTATCTGCTAATGGTAGAGGTGGCCGAACGCAGGCTGCTTGGGAGTTTGTCAGAGCCAGGAATTTTCCAGGGTCCGGGGGACACTGTAGCTTTTCTGCCTGCCAAACTGCTGCTGCTGCTGTTGCTGGTGGTGGTGTTGGTCGTCTTGGAGATACGGCTGGGCTGGGTCTCTCCTGCAACCTTTTCTGGCTCTTTTAGCTGCGCTTTGCCATCCCGGCTGCTGCTGTTGCCTCCGTTAATGCCAGTATCCATTCTCAAAGGTTTAGGGGACTTAGGCACATCCCGTTTTCTTGACTGGCTGCTACTGGACCGCTCCTTGGATCGCGCCCGGCTGCTTTTGGCTGGTTTGGCATCCCGAGACGCCCCTGTAATTTCATCCAAGTGCTGTTGCTGATGCCCCTGATGTCCCTTGCCTCCATTGCTATGGCGACCGCTCCTGCCACTGCCCCCCTCTCTGGGTCTGTTTCGCCCCCCGGCCTGTCCTGACCGCCTCCCGGCACTGTGGGGCTCCGGGCCTTGGCCTCTAAGACCCTCTAGACAGCTTTCAGGGGCTTCCATTGGTGAAACGTGAGGTGGATCTAATGGTGAGTTCACGTGAGATGAAGGCGATTGATTGTTTAAACTGTCCAGGGGTGGGGCTACTACTTCCGACAGGCTTGGGGAGGCTGTAGGCCTAGCATCCCAGGGGGCGGAGCTATCTGCTGAAGGAAAAACACAGCAATAAAATAAGTGACAGCGCAAAGCTTTGAGCCCAAACAAGCTTTCACACTTAAAGGTGAAATAAAGCAAGAATAAGAGAATGATGGAGAACAACAGAAAAGAATTAAGACACCACTTATATTGACAAGCTATCATCAGATGATGTCATTAAAGGAATCCCCTTACCCAAAAAGAGGTCGATCAGCCAAGACATGCTTGGTGCCAAACATCTGCTTCTTTAGTAAAGCAAAAAACTAATGTAGCTACCAAATAGGGCTGTCAACTGGGCTCAGGAATTAAAATCGATTTTTTACTTGTTTGTTTTGGGTGTCAGCTGAACAGAATTAGCAGTTCAAGTTCTCTTCCAAGCATGCTGAGCTGTCCAATGACGCATTAGCAGCAGTTTAAAAACGATGCTGTGGAGCTATAAGTGTCTCTGGGGAAGTCTGTGCTCGCCTTCACCCTCCTAGCCTGCTAGCATTGTGTGATAAATGGACACCTAGGTGTGAATTGGCCATGACTAAAATCAGGACAGCATGAGTCTGAATTACACAGGAGCAATTTTCACTTCTCTTAGTTTAATAATTCTAACCAATTTACTGCTGCCACCATTCTCACTGCAGGTTTGTTCTAAAATGTTTTAGCTTGATGAAGGAAGGAATGCTTAGAGATGATTGTGATTAGCTTGTAATGGCTTATAATGGAGGCTCTATTACTCATTAGCTAAATTAACCGTACAGCTCCAGTGCAAACCTAAAGAAGCAAACTTCAGACGCCAAATTTGGGGATGAGGGAGAAACAGTAAATCTGACTATTCCTTTAAATAATAAGATGTGCAAGGTACTAACCATGTCCAGTGTTGGGGGTTAATGCGTTACAGTAATAGAATTACTTTTTTTGTAACCAAGTAGTGATACAGTGTTCCATTACAGTTTAAATTCTTGTAAATCTCATTAGTTACTTTGATTACCTGTGTTTGAGACATATTGCATTTCTCAAAGTCTCAAAGAGAACGAAATTATGCACGATGCTTTTAAAACATAGATATCTTCTATATAGATTGTCTGTGCCTGTCCTGTCCTGCTTGTGTCAGCTGACCACATGAATTTGATTGGGAATATCTTCCCAAGCGTGGGAGGGGCCGTCAACTTGACAAGCAATCTTTCGAAGCATCCAATCTTGCTAATATAAAACTGATGGAGCTGAAGAAGAGAGAGCCACAGCCAGCCTCACCTATACAGGCCACAATTTTCATTAATAAACAGATCTGTAAACAGAGAACAGAACAGAATAAAAAGATTTTATTTCGAAGCTGCAGTTTTTGAACTGTTTCTGCTAACTAGTTTCTGTTCATCACTGTTTCAGTTAACATAACTGGCTGAGTTTTTTCAAAGGCAGGAATACTGACATGATTTTAAAGGGGGTTTCTGCAGCTACTGGCACTTCTAGGTCTCGGCTGTGGCTTTTTGGATTCACATTTTTAGCAAAACACAGAAAATAGTTTATTAGTGTCATAAGACATTTTTACATTAATTCATTTAATTAATTTATAAAGCATATTTTGGACTACATACCAGTTTTATTTATGGTCTGCATCTGTGATATTAATCTTTCAATGCATTAAAATAAGATATTAAATTAAATACAAAAATTCTGATAAAACTGCATGGTATAAATGTTACATAAAAACATATTTAAACAAATATAGTTATTGATCAATCACTTGTGTCATTTTTTTTTTTTGATAAATACATCTGTTCTGTGTTCTTATGTCCTTACACTGACCAAATGACCTAATATAAAGTTTTTTTTCAATACCAAACAGACCTACTTTCAATGGAAACACACATTATCCAAAGAGAACACGGAAAAGTGTCGGAAACTTAAATTAACTTAAGGTGCCATAAATATTGTGCATATTTATTAGTGTTCACATGAAAAAAAAGAAAAACTGCAAAAAGGAAAGTAAATGAATTAAAAGCAGTTTACAGACATACAGACTCTAGTTGACTTGTTCTAGCCACAAACATCAGTCTAATAAAGGACGTTTTCCTGACTCAACTACACTACAGGATGACGACTGAGGCCACAAGGCCGATTAGACTTTTAACCCCACATACAGGCCTCACGCTCCCCCCATTTAAACTCATAGCCCTGCCCCAATCAGACTGGGCTAAACCACTGCTATGAGCAAGTGGGTTAACAGAGGATAGTACAAGAATTTAAAAATATTAATGCAGACATCATTGTGGACAAAATACATGCTGACATGTCATTTGGCCTTTCACTCATATTAGCGGCAAGTATGTTCTCAATTGCTTCTACTTCACATTGTTCTTTCCCCCAATATCCTAAACGAATTGGACCTGAAAGACAAGATCAACAGGTCAGTAAATAATTGTGCACATTTTTACATATGTTTTTGTTTTAAAATCCCCAAAGTCTACACAAAAGGTCCCAAAATAGTATTGGTGATGGGGCAGACCTACTGACCTCATCACAAGGAAGACATGTTCATTATTTATCTTACTATTTGGACAGCCAAAACTGCCCGTAGTTGCGGAAAAACCCTTAGGTGATGTTTACCGTGATTGTATATTTCTTTCCAAATAAATGACTGAAAATGACTACTAGGTTTTCCCTTGTACAGTTAGTACAGATGTCAATGGGTTTTACCAAATAATGCAGAAGTTGAGTAAGTGAGTAAATAAATTACTTGTTCCAGACAGAGGTGGATTTAATGATTTTAGGGCTTTAGTCAAAGGACAGGGCCACCTGGACATACATTATTAAATTAGTTGTGGCTCTGGGCTTCTGAGTGGCACAACTATCTACACTGCAAAAATGATATTGTGGCATCTGTCACGGACCGCACAGCCACGAGGAACTTTGAGAAGTGGCCATGCAAAGCGGATCTCGGGTGGCACCGCACTCCTGGGTTAAAAAGATACAGCTGCTGCTGTTATTGTTGATGTTATTAGTGTAGTTGTGCTGTTTAGAGTAAACTGTGTCCAAGGAGGGTGGGCTCTGTAGTGTGATTAGTGGTTGGAAGTGTCTGCCCTCCTCATAAATTTATTTTATTCAGTATCTCACTGTATTGGCAGATAATTTTACCTGTTTCAAGACATATGCTTGGAACAAGCAATATCTACCAATATAGTGAGATAATTTGGTACAGATAATTTGGTTATTTTATTAACGTATATATATAATGTGTCTATAATAAGTAATGTAATCCTATTACAGTTTGAGAGAAGTTACTAGTAACTTGTAATGTGTTACTTTTTTAAATAACTACCCCTACACTGGTGCTATCAATAATAACATTAACACAAGCATTATGTATGGTCTGCTGAGCATGGGCTACTTAATTTGTATTATTATGGGGCCCTTGGCTCATGGGGTCCCTAGGTGGCTGCCTTTCTTTGCCTAGTGCAAAGATCACCCCGGTTCCAGAAAGAATAAGTAAAGTAATCCCATTACAGTTTGAGATAGGTAACGAGTCATTTGTAATCAGTTACTTGTTTTGAGTAACTACCCCAACACTGGTCATGTATTATTACACCACACTACACAGCAGTCTAGTTTAGAAAAGAAAACATACAACGCTGTTCAGTGTGTTTGGTGTAAACTGAGACACACTAGCTAATCCTGCAACACATCATTCTAAACTTTGATATCAGAATGACACACACAACACAGAGAATAAATAATATGGTCCCAGAGGGCTCCTGCCGGGCACACACATACAAAAAAGAACAAAGATTTCACATTCTGCTCACATCTCACTACACACACACACACACACACACACACAGTCACACTCACACACAGAAAATTAAATCAGGCTGGCACTTTTATGGATGTCAACAATCAAAGTGTGGCCAAACAATTCATTCATACAGACAAGACAAAAGCAAACAAATACCCACATATCCACTCCTGTGCTATAAACTGGCACTCCTGAGAGAGGCAATAGGCATTTGATTTAGCATGCCTGGCGTGGGCTGACTGCAGAGTGGCTATGGGGGGTGTATTTCTCTGGGTTTATTTTGCTCCAGGGCAGAAACACAGTGATTCAGACACACTGAAACCTGGATCATAAAGGGCTTTGAACTCACACTCACACAAAAACACACACACACACTCACACACACACTCACTGCTGCAGACAGAGACAGACAGACAGCCTGCAGCGCTGACTCGGGAAAGTGTGTTTCAGCCAAAGTGTAACACTGCTACACTCAACCTGAATCCAGAACCTGCTGTGTGTGAGTGTGTGTGTGTGTCTGGGGGAGCAGGGGGGGGCAGGGTGTTTGACAGAGAAAGTCACAGATAGTGGGAGAGAAATATATGTATGGAGTATTATCCAATAATAACAAAATATGTGAACAAAACATTGATATTTGCTGTGTTTATTTATCCCAAGGGCATTAATTGTAGCAATAAGCTAAATATAAACAAAATCATCATTCATAGTGTATTTTCTTTCAGGACGTGGCTATATACATATATTTTACCTATATAAATTTTGGTAGTGAAAAATACAGAGCCTGCTGTTGTCATCCTATCTAAATAAAAATAATGCGAGGCCACGCCTTATTAACGTGTGGGAATGAGATCCTAAGGTGTGGCCACGACTTAGTAAGGCATGGCAATGAGATAATTAAGTCATGGTCACGACTTAGTAAGGCGTGGGAACAAGATCTTGCTTACTAAGTCATACGGATCTCGTTCCCACGCCTTAATAAGTCGTGGCCACACATTATTTTTATTTATACAGGATGTCACCAGCGGGGCTCTGTAGAAAAAGGACTGTTCAATCATTTGTTTTTTACAGGGTCATTCAAAGCTTAGCTTATTGTGAAAGTCAGTTAAAAGTCTGAAATGTGTTTTCAGCTCTGACTTTGAACCAATTCAGTAGTATATATATATATATATATACACATAACAATTCATTAGTGAGAGAGAGAGAGAGAGAGATGGTATGCACCTGTTG